CAGTATGGCTAACAGTTGCACTCACCCGTGTTCTCTTGTAAGTATAGAATCTCCAATGTTTTGATCAAAAAAGAAAATTGTTTTTAGGATACTTATGTGCCCGTAATGGTGAAACTGTGTGGAATTATTGGTGGGCATGTATTCAAAGGAAGAACTTGCACCGAAAATGATTATGAGCAGGTGAAAGTAGCCTACTTTCCTCATCAAAATATGAGCCATTGAATGTGCAGAGGGAAAATAAACCGTTATCAACAATACGTTTTGTTGATTGCGGTGAATGCTGCTGATGTTCGGAAATCAAGCACAGCATGCGGTACATATATGCGCTTCATCTTTCAGCCACTGACCGCAAAACAACATACAGTAAGTGTGCAGCTGGCACTGATGCCAGCGGTTGCACCGTCACAGGAAGACGCTGCAAATGACATATCGAATCAGCAGACGAAACTCTGCTCTGAATATTCCAGCTACCAGAAGCTTTGTGGAGCGTTGCTAGAGGATGGGATATCATCCAATTTAGACAAATTGCATTTTATTGTTGGCCATGGTATTCTACGTCCAGATTTAAGGTGATTTTTGCGCTTTTTTGCACACCTACGTACAGCCTAGTTACGGCGCTTACTGGAGGTACTGTACATTTTATTCTTAATAAAATCACTAGCCTGGGTTCATATTCTTTCTTGTGTTATAATCTTAAGCACTGCGGTATGATCGAGCATGGCTAATGTGGACAATTTGATGTAAAGTGCTGAAACTCGAAATGCCCAAATCATTAGCACAAAAGTGAACGGGACACTGGTGTTTTAAATTGTGCACTTTTGATACACCTGCTGCACGACAAATACCTGAGCAAAAACACACTTTACGCTTGCTAGCTCGCACATTAACACCAAACATCAAAAAACACTGTTTCCTGCTCTTTATGTTTACCAAGTTAATTAGGTGCTAACAGTGTTCCAAATAAAAATTTTACTTATGCACACACAAGACCTGCTTTAAAGCTTCTTTTAAAGCTGAATTTGAAATATTTCGGTCGTACATTACACCCAAAAATCTCAGAATATCCTCGTAAATTTCACCTTCCTGGCTTAACTGGTGAGCAAAATCACTTTTCGTTGTAAACATCCTTGACGTTTCCAAATGCACCACACAGACTTGCGCCAAAACTTATTTTGCTTTTACTTGGCAGCGTATGGGCAACAAATATTCTCTTGAAGGCAAGGCACTCAATTCAGTCAGATTTTCGAGTAGCCACTTCGCCAAAAGAGTCTGGATTTTAACCCTTATATGTTCGTATGTATGGCGTGCGTAATGACTGAATTTAAAATCTTCCGCTCACGGCCAGTAAGCGTGTGCTGTTGTTTTACACCTATGAGCTATAAAATA